TGATCCTGGTGCATACCTACATACAAGTCAAAATCATAGAGAGATTCTACCATCTTCCACCTTTGATTATATAAAATGGCTATGACTTTTTGGGGATTTCGACTTAAAGCATCTGCGACCACATTAGCTTTTCCTGGATGATAATGTAAATCAAAGTCATAGTCTTCTAGATATTGCATCCAACGCCTTTGTCTTAAATTCAACTCCTTCTGAGTGAATAAGTACTTCAAACTCTTATGATCTGAGTAGAGTTCAAAATGTTCTCCATATAGATAATGTATCCACACTTTCAATGCATGAACAATAGCTGTCAGTTCTAGATCGTGTGTCGGGTAATTTTTCTCATGTGATTTCAATTGACGAGAAGCATAAGCAACAACTCTATCAGATTGCAGTTTTAGAGAGACAAAGAAGATGGCCTGGAGCTAGAATTTCTATCGTGTAGAGATCAAATCTTCAATTGGTTTTTTCTTTACTACGATACTGTTTATCATGGTTTTTATTAAAGTTGTCATGAACTAATTTCTTCTTGTTAGGGCTACGATGCAGCCTAGCCATGAATACTCAATTACTTTAGTCAATGTTAATTCCAAGTATTTTTTTTTTCCATGTTGAGTATCTATTACCATGCTTAATGCTTTGAATGTTTGGCCAACATTTAATTGTTTTGATGCTAAATTGACGATAGGAATATCCAATTTGGGGTTGCTTCTTATAATAGATGCCATGAGTTACATGATTAGACAGGGATGTTTGTCATGACTTATGTGGTTGTTTTGCAGGTTTTCCAAGGAGTTTAATGTGTTCTTTTTATCTTAATTCCATCACTAGGGATAGAGTAGGTGGTAATAAGAATACTTTTGGTATAACCAGGGATGGAGTATCAAATAAAGTAGGAAAAATCGACTGTCAACATGGAGAATAATTAGGATTAACATGCTAAGGGAATTGGGTAGAATTGGCTATGGTGAAATCGGAAGCTCTAGTGCTCTCATAACTTGAATCTCACTGTTTTATTTTTCTAAGCTTGCTTTTATTCATTGTTTTAGTTAATTAATCAATCAAATCTCATCATTCAATTGTTCAAATAAAGTCTTGGGTTAATCACAATCGGTACTTAGTAAATTAAATCACTCTTCGTGGGAATGACACTTCACTTATCACTGTATTACTTGTGCGAATTGTGCGCTTGCAATAAATTCACAACACATGACATATACAGATTGTGTTTGAAGAAATCTCAAGACATGAATCCATATGCAAATAATCCCAGGGATTAGAAATTTCAAAAGGAGGTCTGCACTTTTTAAAATTTGAGGATCTTGATGAAGTAAAATCAGTCAGGGCTCTATATAGAACCACATTATGAGTAGATTATAGATATGATGAGCTGAACCACATTATGTGTATATTATAAATATGATGAGCTAATGAGGTCATATTATAGTGAAAAAGTATGTTTGGTCTAAAATTAGTAGTCTTAGGTTCGAAACCCCTAGGCATTAGTGTGTGAGTAAATTCAACTCTCCCTTCCTACCTTTGAAATATTTTTTGATGTAACACTTATTAAGATACGGTCAAGATACGGGTAGGGGCAATTTTGAAATTATTTGAAAGATTATGTGGATTTTTTAAAATTATAATAAATATAGAGTCAAAAATCTAATGTTCAAAACTTGGCCAAATCACACCATTCTTGTCGATAGAAAGATGAAAAGGCCAGGTTTTCCCATTTGAAAATAAAACGGCGGCACCAAACAACTCAAAGAACCAGAAGAAGGAAGGGTGTTTGATCGGTTTATTCTATCTCGGAAATACCGCACTGGTTTTGCAATTTCCTCAAACTCTCAAATTGCTCGGTTTGCTCGGCTTGGCCAAATTGAGAAAGCCCGAAGGCTGTTTGATAAAATGCCTGACAAAAATATTGTGTCTTGGAACTCAATAGTTGCAGGTTCCTTCCAAAGTAATCAACTAGGAGAAGCCCGAAAACTGTTTGATAGAATGCTAGAGAGCAATACGGTTTCTTGGAACGGTTGATATCCTGTTACGTCAAGAATGGGATGATTATTGAGGCTAGGAAAGTGTTTGATTTGATACCCGAAAGGAAAGTTGTATCGTGGGCTTCGATGGTTAGAGGGTATGATTTCGGAGGCTGAATCACTCTTTTGGCAGATGCCTGAAAGGAATGTTGTTTCATGGACAGTGATGTTGGGTGGCCTGATTCAAGAGGGTCGGATTGATGAGGCTCGTAGGCTTTATGATATGATCCCGAGAAGGATGTGGTGACAAGGACTAATATGATTGGTGGGTATTTTCAAGTTGGCCATTTGGCTGAAGCACGTGAGATTTTTGATGAGATGCCGCGAAGGAATGTTGTTTCCTGGACTATGATGGTATCTGGGTATCTGCATAACCACCAGGTGGATGTTGCTAGAAAGCTTTTCGAAGTGATGCCGGGTTTCATGGACGGCAATGCTAATAGGTTACACTCAGTGTGAACGGATTGAAGAGGCTTCAGAGCTTTTTCATGCCATGCCGGTTAAGTCAGTTGTTGCTTGTAATGCAATAATACTTGTGTATGGCCAAAATGGAGAGGTAGCTAAAGCAAGGGAAGTTTTTGATATTATGAGAGAGAGGGATGATCGGACATGGAGTGCGACGATTAAAGTTTATGAACGGAAGGGTTTTGAATTGGAAACAGTTGACTTGTTTACTTTGATGCAAAGAGAAGGTGTTAGGCCGAATTTCCCTTCTTTGATAAGCGTTCTATCTGTTTGTGGCAGCTTGGCGAGCCTTTGATTATGGTAGAAAAATTCATGCCCAGTTGGTGAGAAACCAATTTGATCATGATGTATATGTTGCCTCGGTTTTGATGACAATGTATGTTAAATGTGGTGACCTTGTGAAGGCAAACTGGGTGTCTAACAGGTTTGCTGCGAAGGATATAGTTATGTGGAACTCAATGATCACCGGTTATGCCCAACATGGTTTAGGAGAGAGAGTTACAAGTTTTCTAAGAGATGTGCTCCTTGGGCACACATCACCAGATGAGAACACCTTTATTGAAGGTAGGAAAAGATCTTGAAATTTTTGAGACAATGAAATCAAAGTACCAGGTGGAGCCAAGAACTGAACATTATGCTTGTATGGTTGATCTGCTTGGTCGAACAGGAAAGGTAAAGGAGGCAATGGATTTAATTAAGAAAATGTCAGTTGAAGCAGATGCGATTGTATTGCATGATGTTGGATGAAGAAGAAAAGGCACACAGCTTGAGTTATCATAGTGAGAAACTGGCTATTGCATATGGATTCTTGAAGGTGCCCCAAGGGATGCCCATTTGGGTGATGAAGAAACTTCGTGTTTGAGGGGATTGCCATTCTGCAATTAAATAAATATCCAAAGTGATGGGAAGAGAGATCATATTGAGGGATGCTAACAGATTTCATCATTTTAAGGATGGCTTGTGTTCTTGCAGAGTCTGTTGGTGATTACAAACCTTGTGTTATGGGGATCCATCCTAGGAAAGACTGGTTTTGAGACAGGAATCATGCCTAGCAGAGTTAATTGGTCAAATTTGTTTTAGAGTGAAAACTTCCCCATGGCAGGCAGACAATGATACTTCAAAATGATGATACTATATATTATGTCATTGGGGGAACTTACTAAAATTGTGTTGGTATATGATTTTCAAATCAATCGAGGAATTTGGGGTTCAAAATATGGTCTATCCTCAAGGGAAAAGGACATGGAAGGAAAAGCTATGTAGATGGCCCTTAATGCCCAATCTTATTGCATTGTCCTCTAAATTATACAATTGAAAACTTCGAGTTTAAGGCCTACGACGAGGGGTCTGGATTTGAAACGGTTTCAAAGTACTTATCAGTGTATGATCATGTGAGAAAGGCATGGGATGATTGCTTATAGAGGTGAGTATCGTGTCCTAAGTGTTTAGATTCAGAGGACATGAAAACAATTGCAGTTTTTTAAACGCAATTTGCACTTTTGGATCGTTCTCCTTTCAACTGTCCTTGACATACCAATTTGTCTCTTCATATGATTGACAGACTTAAAATTGTTTCAGTCCAAAAGAAAAAAAGCAAAAATAATTAGTAAGAAACAATTTAGTCAAGAATCATGACGGCATGCACGCATAATTTGCCAATTGAATATGCTTGAATGACAACTTTTATATCAATTCAAGGAATGAGTCTTTGCATTGAATTCTTTGCATGTTTGGCTAAACTGGAGGCTGCAAATGCTGACATTGCAAAATCCCTAGCCACATTGAAGTCTTGAAGTCTTGAAGTAGAGGTTAATCTTTTTTGTTCAGCTCCTCCTTTTGGCTGGTAATAGCAGTGAAAACTATATCATACTACACACTTCTGATCACCCACATTCTCCCCTCCTATCTTCTTGTTATGAAATTTTATATCCCAAACCATGTTTATGAGTTATGTTATTATTTATTAATTACAATGATAAAAGGAAAATAAAATAAAATAAACTCCCCCAGGAAATATAAGATCCAAATTAAGAAGAAGAGAAAGAGGAGACCTGAGTGATGCGCTTTTGGGTACCCTCGAACTCTGCCGTGCGTGCCTCTCCGACCTCCTGTGAGAGATTACGGAAGACGAAAAAAAATTATGAGAGATTACGGAAAAAAATAGACAAAAAGAATACAAAGAAAAGACACGATAATAATAAAATCTTGTGATCAAAATGACATGAATAAGAGAATTATACAAATAATAAAGCTTCTAGTGCATAAGATATGATGAAACCACCTCTCAGCTTCGAGTTGTATAATAGTACGAGTCAGATTCAATATGTCTTCCTCGCGCGTTCTCGTAAACCAATAAAGGCCTGTATACATAACGACACCAGCAACCAAAAGACCAGCAGTACTTATCATATTGATTGATTGGGAGGAGTCGTAGGAGGACTCGCAAAATGAGATGAGACAGACGGCGTACAAAACCAAAAACTACAGAAAGATATTGGGTCGGGGTTAGGGTTGAACAAATAAATATGATCTTACTCGGCCGTTGGATGTTTCTAACGGCTGAGGTTTAACCCCAGTCTTCTTCACCTAATAATATGTAGCTCAAAGCTATTTTTAAAGTTCGGGCTTGGGTTGGGTTCTTAGGGCCACTAAAACACCCAAAATAGGGGTTGAAATTAAAAAAAAAAACCCAAGCACTATTTAAACATATAAACACACCCAAAACCCATCATTACACACACTCAAAACCCATTTATAAACACACCCAAAAAGTTGACTTTGGGGTTGATTTTGGGTGTGTTTCTATGTTTAAATAGTGTTTGGGTTTTTTTATAA